TCTGATGATTCCAATAGTTACAGAGAGGAGGAAATTGCAAAGTGCCATTTAAAGCATCTGTCACCAACACAACTCATCGCTGCAGATGCTAACCCTGGTCACCCGGCTTAGGCAGGGTGGGTTTGTTATAGCTGTGCAATTTAAAATCACTAGAATTTCTCCTCTTTCCATGCAAACACTTTTGCAGGGAGTTGGTCTATCCAGTTCACACTTCAGTGGAAAGCCAAGCTCCTTCTCTCTGATGATGAAGTATTTAAATACATTATTAGAATTCTTCTACACATGAAATATGCATCCTTTTCTTGTTCATTTAATTGCTTATTATAGTATGAATTTTTGGACAGTTACATTATACTTTGGGTTATAATGCAATACATTACTGCTTAAATTGTCCTGCTTTTGCCCCTAGAAGACCCTTCAGTTGGCTCCCTTTGAGATATTTTTGATTCTATGCAAACTGTTCACTTTCTGGCATGACAATATGCTCCAGCCACATCTTGCCTATTTGCAGTACAATCCTAGAACTAATCATTTTCCAAGGAATTCTCATTTATTTTTGTTTTGATTGGTAATGGTAGTAGAAACCAAGATCTTGGCATTGTATTTCTATTCGTTCCTGGGATGCTCTAGTTCGTAGGCCTTCTTAGCTGATAGAATTAGGAAATGCACATGTTTGCTCACCTATATATGCTATTCCTGTATTAATCCATCTGTGTTTATATAAAGCTAAATATGATTCATACTGCTGTCTCCATGTTTAATTAATAATCACATTATCATTTGTTCTAGCCATAATGGATCCTTTCTAATAATAATAGTACTTTATTTTAATGGTTGTGGGTATTTTTGTGCCAGGTTCAGTGGCAAGCTGTTCAGACTAACTTAATCCTTCACACAACTTTATGGGTAAGCATGATTGCCCACACTTATAAGCTGAATAAATGGAGTCCTGACCTTACCTAAAGTCACATAATAAGTGGTAGTGCCAGCAGAGGCGCCTGTATTCATGAGACTCTGAATCCACTCTGTGACTGAGAACCACTGAGGCTGGGTTTAGTTAAAACTGAGCAGAGTTCTGTGTGATAGAAGATAGAGAAATATTTCCCAGTTCTCGCCAGGTATTAGACTCTGTCCAGTCTCACCTGGTCAACACTCTTCCTTACCCCTGTTTGAGAGGCCTCTCACCACACAGCCTGAGTGAGGACAAGTTGCTCAATTGCAACCCAACTTGACAGCCCTAAGAGAGGGTGCTGAGTCAATGGCAAAAATCAGCACCATCTGACCCCCTGACCTTTCAGCCACTGGCTAACCCCTGCTATACATTATCTTGGGTTTTGGTAACTTGGTAATAAGTAATTGTAAATTAGCACTCTGCTTTCATTGAGTTAAAAAGGGACTAACATTCCCCCACCTTTTGTTAATCAAACTATCCATAACAAGATAAATGTGCAGCCCTGATTAGTGTGTTTTACTTTAAATTTCAAGCATTTTCTCTAGATTCCTGGAAGTAACAGAAACCAGCAGGTAGGGAGTGTATAAGTATTTACCAATGCTCTGTGGTCTGCACATTCATTCATCTCTGGCTCATGGTTCTTCTAAGGTGACCTAGAAAGAGGCACTGGATCAAGCATGCAATGTTCATGGGAATTTGATCTCAGTTATCTCTTTGAGTTGCAAACATCCAAAGTGACATTACAGTGAGAAAGCAATCCTTCAGATCATGCTGAAAGCCACTTTGTGAGAAAGCCACAGCCTCTTTGGTTCCTGGGTTCTGTTTGGTGAGTTTGTTCTGACAGTTAGTGGCTTTATTTCCAGAACCACAACAAAGGGGGTCCTTGAGCTTTCCTGGGAGTGTTCCTGCAGACTGAACATCTCCTGGACATCATAAAGGTGTTATTGTGACTGGCTTTCTGGGCTCCCAGCACCTGAGGGAGATCAAAGGAACTTTCTCATGCCAACACAACCGCAGTTTCACCCTCACAACATAGCATTAAAGCTTATGATTAATCCCCTTGGCCCTGAAAGTCCCTTCCCATTCCCAAGTACAAAGTGGGGTGGGGGGTGGAACGTTATTGCCAGCACAACATGACCATAATAAACTGGCATTTTATGGCCCTCATTCATTGCAACCAACTGCAGCTGCCTATCAAACTCATGAAAGTCCCAACAGTTGTACCATGGGAGCTGTTTACATCACTAGGAAATTTTCACAAAAATCCCCACCATTTCTGAGCATCTACTGCCAGGGATACATATCTTAATGTGTGTTACCCAAAAACTCAGTGAGATTGGTGCCATTACTTTTAATTTGAGGGACAAATAAATCAGAGGCTTGGAAAACTTACTTGCTCACTTTGAATCACTGGGTAAAAAGAGGGCAGATGTTGCAATCATTCCTCCCCCGGGACACTGAAATCAGGTATGGCACAGAGTGACTAGGAGGAATGGGAATTCTGGAGCCAGCCAGATCTGTATTGGCCTCAGGTTCAGAACACGATACCTTTATAACCCTGAGAACATGAATGTACTTTTTCATGACCTAGTTTCCTAGTTTCTAGAACACATGTGTTGGAGAAGCTGGTATCATCCTCAATAAGGGGAAATAAAACAGAACAGTGGGATATCATAGACACACACATTCATTCAGAATCACTTCTACTTAGAAACATCAACTGAGGAGATGGCACTGTGATGCAGTGGAATCCATCACTTAGGAGGCTGGCATCACATATTGAAGCACTGACTTCAGACTCAACTGCTCTGCTTGGTCAAATATTTGGGTCCCTTCTACTTCTGTGGGAGACATGTATGGGGCTCTGGAATCCTGAATTTGGACTGGCCTACCCCAGGATTGTTGGGGTCATTTTGGGAGCGAATCAGTGGATGGCAGAAGTTGCTGTTTCTGATACTCTGTGTCCCAAATAAATACATTTCTAAAAGAAGAAACCTCACCTGAGTAAAACTTCTTGATATCAAACTTTACAAGAGAAGTCAGCTTAGATGTGTTTTATGAAAACAGGAGATGATTTAAATCACATTAAATCAATGGACAATGAAGACAGGTGAAAAGGGTAGACAATGTCAGGGAAAATGTAGGCTGCTGGCTATTCAGCATATCATTCTAACAGGGGCCTTCATTGACAGCTAAATTTTCCCATAGGGTTACTGAAGAGGAAGGATATGATAGATTTTTAGATATAGTTAAAGAAATTCCATTTCAAAATTTGCCCAGAGAAACAAAAAGAACTCATACTTTCTCAAAGTCTGGCCCAAATATCACATCAAGAAGATTCCTCTAACTCTGAACTCCTCCAAGAAAAGTTAATCATGGCCTCCTTTTCATTCAACAACTCCTGGTCATCAAAAGTTCACTCTAGTGTTTCATGTGTTTACCACATGTAAGGCATTTGACGTGACCTTATTTAGTGCTCATAGCACCATGAGAGGGGGTTTATAGCTTTGAATGCTTCACCAGTGAGGAACTTGGGTCCCAGGGAGTTTCTACCTCTTGCCCTAGTGCCTAGGCTCAGTATGTGGAGAAACTGGGGCTAGAGACCATATATATAAGATGAACCATCAGGGCAAGAAAACTTTGAGCAATGTCTGGTATGGACAGATGCTCAGTACTACAAGTACAATCTGGATTTATGCTTGGGGGCCTTATATGGTACCGTAACATCTGTTATACTATATCTCCTCCATAGAAGAGCTGAGAGCATTTGTATGGCCCCAAGGTTTAGCCCTGCCTGGAAACAGAAATAGGAATTGAGCCAATGTGTTCCTATTTACTCAACAAAAATGACAGTTAAAAAAGGTTCAGTGTGGCTCGGCGGCGTGGCCTAGTGGCTGAAGTCCTCGCCTTGAACGTGCACCAGGATCCCATATGGGCACCGGTTCTAATCCTGGCAGCTCCACTTCCCATCCAGCTCCCTGCTTGTGGCACGGGAAAGCAGTTGAGGATGGCCCAATGCTTTGGGACCCTGCATCCATGTGGGAGACCTGGAGGAAATTCCTGGCTCCTGGCTTCAGATTGGCGCAGCACCAGTCGTTGCGCTCACTTGGGGAGTGAATCATCAGACAGAAGAGCTTCCACTCTATCTCTCCTCCTTTCTATATATCTGACTTTATAATAAAAATAAATAAAATCTTTTTTAAAAAGGCAAAAAAGGCTTGGTGGTACCCACAAAGTGTCAACAACTGCACTCTGCACATGAGCTCTGCCAGGGCTGCAGTGATTCCGCCCTGAGCTGTGTCTCATGCTCATCTTTGCTCATCCCCATCACCCCCCTCATACTCTCCCTCTATTTCATTCATTTGGGAAAAAATCCAAGTAGTCGTCCATCTAAGTGGAATCAAGTAATGACTTTTAAATAAAAATATGGTAGAAATGGGTACTTATCGAAATGGAATGCTTTCAGACGTATGCATTTAAAGAAGATATAAATTTTAGGGTAGGCACTAAATTTTAACTGCAATCTTGGAGAAAGCCTTTCCACTAATTCATGGAGAAAAATTAACAAAGTGAAAATTGCTTATCAGTGTTCTTTTCTGAAGCCATGATGTGCAGCCTAATTCTATAGATCATCAGGATGCTCTCAGGGAGATGGATTTATATTGATTGAGGGAGAGCTCACCGCCAAGGAAAACAGACAATCCTTGCCAGAGAAGATATGGCTCTCCATCAGACTTGGGGAGTGAGTCAGGATTTGCCATCTTTGGCCCAATTTCACCTTCCCTGCCTGGGCTCTTTGGCTAGTGTGATGTCAGAGGCCGACTTGACTTTTTTTCTCACTGTAAGAATCTGGCCCCTGCAGAAGTGCCTGACAAATGCAAGTAAGACTGCTGGTGATTAGGCTGGCTTCTGGTAACAAGAAGCACAAGGAGGCAGGAAGAGGAAAAAGGAAGGAGAGGAAGGCATGAAAAAGTCACCAGCTCAAGTCTCCCATGGATTTGTCTTCCGCCACGTGTGGTGGCCTTGCCTGTGTGTCCAGCTGACTCACCCCCATGTGACAAGAAGACGTTCCACAGATGATGGCCAGCCGTGATGTCATTGGCTGTCCCTCACAGGCGAGGCCATGACCCCTCACATCTGCTCCAATCACTCCTGTGAGAAAGCAAACCAAAACAAAAATCCTCTAAAAATGTAGAAAAAGTTAAAAACAAGTATAAACCATTTTTTAAAAAGCCAAACAATGTGGAGGATGAGCCCCATGAGTAGGAAAATCTCAAATAGAAACCAAAAGAACACAGCTGCCTGCGTGGGGAAATTAGGAAACCCGTTCTGTTTTGGCTTTACTTGGGTCTATGAATAGCATTCAGTGCTGGAAGAGTGGTGCTAAGTATAATTGTCATAACAAAAGCAGCCGCCATCAGTGATTTTGTGCCCAAGTAGTACCAGGTGTTATGCTATGTGTTTACATGCATGGTCTCATCAGCTGAAGACATATTCCAGTGGCTGCCACTAATGGAACAGGCATCAGAGGAGAAATGAAGGTCTGCTTAAGCTGACTTGCAAGAGGTCAGATACATTATACCTCAATTTCAAAACTGGAAAAGTCACAGAAAATGTAGGATAACTCAATCTCCTCAGCATGCCTAGGTCACCATTTTTACTACTGCTTGGTGCTGAATTCTAAGGGCCCAAGGGTGAAAGAAAAAAAGTGAGCTCCTGTTCAGAGAATGCTATGTAGTACAACATTTTCATAAATGTGAGGCACTGGGACTCTCCCATATAGCCCACATTCCGTGATGCTTGTGAGAGCCTGGAACCACCTTCCATTTATGAAAATATCCAACAAGCATATTCAAAGCACAGCATGTGATACTGGATATGATGTGGGAGCTATAACCTTTTAAAGTCACATAATTATAGTGCATAAAAAGAGGTAGAAGGTGCTAAGATCAGGACACACAGACTGGGACACAGGATAGAAAGATGCATCACACTGACCCGATCAAGTTCAATGCAGAGCCACCCTGCTTGCATTCTCTTATCTTTGGTGCTCTTTTTCACCTCAACACCTTTGAACTTGGTCTTCCATCTGTCCAGTTTCTTATTGTGCCAGGCTAACTTCTAATTATTTCTCACTCAAATATGTCTAGTTGCTCCCCAATCCTTGAGGAAACATGGAAGCTCCCTGTTAATCTTCTCATGTGCCATGGGACTTCTTTTATAAAAAAAAAAAAAAGTAACTGGTAGTTGTAAAAGGACATATATACTGTCTGCTCCTCTTCTATAGTAAAAGTTCCAGGAAGAAGGAACTGCATTACCAACATGCTAGGTAGCCTAGGACCTACCGCACTTTCTACCAGCTCAAGGTAGGAAGTGAGAAGCTATGAATACTTGGGGCTGCTGCATAGATGAATCCAAGTCCCTGATCTCAGGACACAGTTAGCTGGGAGGGAGACAGAATCTTAAAGGGTGCAGGAGGCACACTGGTTGCAGGGGCAGCCAACCCAATGTAGAGGTTCTGGGATGTTTCACAAGTAATTCAATCTCCACTGACTTCAGGGAGTAAGTGATAAAGGCAGGCTGGAGTGTCTCTTCCAACAACACATCCTCAGATGTTGTAGGAACTGCTCACTTAACTATGTGGGCCTTCCTAGAGTATGATCTAGAAAAAGCTACAATTCTCCCAGACGTTTCAACAGATTTCTACATTTTGTCCATTATTTATTCTAAATTACACTTTCTGGAGCACAGTAATGTGTGCAGCTCTGTTCTTGTTCAGAGGACTATCAGCAGGGGGAAGTACAGCTCTTCTAAACGTCCCTTGCAGGTTATAATAGTGATTAGAGCCCAGAAACCAGGCAAGTGACATGTAGGACTTACGCCTGCAAGATAGCTGGGCTTCTTTGGTTTCAGATCAATTCTTTTACTCTGTACACTTCTGTGGGCTGCATGTCTAGGCTGTTCTTCCCAGAGTTCACGTTAGCTGAGGGTAGCCCTGCTGGGATATGTGAGTGCTGGTGGGAAGAGGGGCAGGCAGAGCACATCTCATCTCATCTGTCTCAAGCCATATCTCATGCAGCAGCTGTTTCCCCTCCAGGATTTCTGTCCTGTGCACAATGCCACTCTGGCTGCAGGATTTATTGGAGAACACTATCTCAGACTCCAGAAATATCAGCTCTTAGCTTTGCTTTCTAGTCTAGGAGTGGAAGGAGCTTCCATAATTTTGATTTCTGGCTTGCCTCACAGAGGGAATCAGGCCTTTCTGAGCTCTTTCAGCATTAGGGTCACCATATTTTCACATTACATCCCTTGGATGGGCCTCAAATAAAACACTCCCTATTCAGGTGCAAAGGTTTGTGGGTAGGAAGAACTTCTAAATATGAGCAAATTGTAACGGAGTCGTTGAAAGATGTCTCCCAGAGACACAACTCATCTTAAAACAGACTAATGTGATGATGCTGTTATCATCCTCATTGCTCAGGTAACAAGACAGAGGCCTAGAATTGGAAATGAAAAGTGTCTTCACAGGGCTGCAGAGCTCACAATGAGATTATCATTCAAGTAATCCGATTCTACTAAGACTCACTGACTTTTCTCTAACATACTTCTCTGTAACTTTCAAGATAATGAGGCCTTAAAGATGCTAATCCTCAGATATTTGACAGATATGAGATTGACTACTGCTGGTCCACAGCATTATAAGCGAGTTCAAGGAATTCCTTGGAATAAAACATATGAGTTCAGGAAATACAGGCCATGGTGGTGCCAAAAATTCATTCAGTTCTGATACAGGTTTACATAATGGTAAAAAGTAATTTGTGGGAAATATTTCTTTGTTTCTGAGCAATTTAGCAAATTCACTGTTGCTATTTCTTGAATGAGATATATCTCAGATAGACCCAAGACCTATTAAGAGGCATAAGGATCTGCTGTAAAATGGGAAAGCTCATATGACTATTCCAATAGTGAGGAAACATTTAGAAATAGAGGTTTGATTAGTGATAGCCAAGTTAGTATCACCATAACTACTCTCTCTTTTTCACTGTCACCCCCATTGCCATCATTTGAACCATCTCTCCAAAGTCTATTGTACTGTTTCATCCAAGAAAAATTATCAGCCATAAAAACAAGGCTACATATTGTGTTAAGCTGTTTAAATGTTTTCTCATTTAATTTTTTCTCACATCTATAAAGGATAATAATAATAACCAGTAAGAGGCAGGTCTTGCCCAATCTGCCTTCAAGGCAGTGAACTCCCCTAATGTTCACCCCAATTCCACAGCAGTGCATGGCTTTTGCTTGCTGAGAGGCCACATGAGTTTGAGAACTGACACATCCCAATTTCCCTTAGACCACACAGAGCTTGAGGGCAAGGGAGTATCCTCTAGAAAGTAAGTCAAAAACAAGCAGGAAAAAAATGCATGGAAATATAAAATATGGGAGGAGCTTTCTCTTTTCCAAATAATCATGTTTCACAACTCCTGGAGCAATCAAGGGTCACAGATGTACATCAGAAATGACTCCTAAGATGAAGTTTTGACAAGTGTACCCCTCAATGCTGCTGGGGCCTTCATAAAGCTGCACAAGTGTCAGTCCGTTCTGTGTTCCTCAGAAAGGTTACAAGCAAAACTAAAAGCTGAAGGAACAGTCATCAAGAAGAAGAGTGACGTGCCCATGTTTTCCCTGAATCTTGTAAAATGCCCAGCTGACAGTAGTTTCTCAATAAATACCTACCGAATGAAAAAAATACGCAGCAGAAAAACAAGCTTAATGACTCAATGGACACATTTAAGAATCTTATTCAACAAGCCTCACCCTTGAAAATGCAGATACGTCAAATAAAGCATGATATTTAAAAACAAAATTAAGATGGAAGACTTGAAATTTCATAAATAACTCTCTTATTTAGCTTTATGCATTGTCTCTCTCTCATCCAGGCGACCATCCACCTTCCCCTTCTATTCAAACATTTACTGAGTATCTACTCTATTTCCATAAGAGGAGAAGAGACGTTTCTAATTTTATTAGGAAGAGTATGTTATCCTATAATTTTTCAAATCATAGCTTCTTTGAAAACTTTAAAGGTTTAAATAGAGAAAAACATCCCAAGTTCTAGCATTTGTGTTATAATTGCCTTTCACTTTATGGCTATATGAAATTATTTTAGAGCTTTGTTTGAAAGCATCCTCAAACAGCATATCCTTCATTTAGGCTTTAGAAAGTTGTAGGACAGGAATATTTTATTTCTAGTTCATAGTTAAAGATATTGAAATTCAGGGTGATGAAGGAACTTATATAGGCTGGTGTAACTACTTTGAGGCAGAAGCAAGACACAAACTAGGATTTTTCATTCTCCTGGTCTCCTGTGTTGGCATCTTGCCAAAGATTCTCTTGCAGTAACAATCGCAAACTCCTCAGAGGGGAGAAAAATTATGAGAAAGGTTGTGAATACTGATTAACACTGCATCAACTTGAGATTTGAGAGTCTGTCTTCAGAAGGAATAAGTTGACTTAAACCCTATCAAGTGAGCTGCAGGACTAAACAGTTCCAGAGATTACTAGCCAAGTGTGTGATGGAAGAGCTCATAGCAAAGACATCTTCTCTGCATAGGAACCCAACTATATATGCGAGCAGCAATGAATTCTATCACTTTGACTAATATTATTCTTCATACTGAATTTAATGTATAGATAGGGTTGGCATTATAGTGCATTGCTTAAAAACAGGAAAATCATTCGGTAAAGTTTTTATTATGTTCTTTCACTTCAATTTTTATGTCTGTACAATCCGAGTGTCTTCCTTATAGAATGATTATGAGATTTGTATGCATTAGGATACTCAGAGTTCTTATGTCATCCAATAGAACATTCTAAGAGGATGGGAACGTTCTCTATGTGTACTGTCCAAAACAGGAGTCATCAGTTGTAGACAGCAATTAAGCTCTTGAAATATGGGTAGCACAACTGGGGAACCAAATGCTCTATTTTTATTGTTTATTTAACTATTTATTTTAAATTTTCATGATACAGTCCATAAGCTCAGCGATTTCTCCTTTCCCCACTTTCCTTCCCCACTCTTTTTTCCTGTATAATTAAAAGAGTCTTTCAGCAACAGTCACAGGTCCATCATTCTGCTATTTAAGTGTACCATG